AACAGCAGGACTTTGTAACCTGTTACTGGAGGTGTTGCACTAAGAGGGTGCAAGGTCAACAGGCGCACTTAGCCCCCTCCACAGAGCGGGTGCCAGAGCAGCCCCCCATTACATGTACGCAACCAGTGCGCTGCTCCCGGGCTGGGGCGGGCCCTGACTCTCCGGGTGCTGGGGCGCGTCACGGGCGCCAGCTCCTGATTGGCCATCAATACAGTCAGGGACCGGAGGCACCGGGATTGGCACGGCTAGAGGCCAGAGCAGGAGAAACGGGACTAGGGTGGCCCGCAGCAGTCCCCACGCCCGAGGGGACTAAGTCCTAAGCCCACGTTGGCAGTCTCGCCCGGACGCGCGCACCATGCCCTACCTCCTCATCAGCACCCAGATCCGCATGGTGAGTAGCTCCGCCTGGCCAGTGGACTGGGGGCCAGCCCGGGCCTCGGGGGCTGCGGCCGCACCTTGGCGCCTCCCTCTTGGGCAGCGTCATTTCAGGGCCCGGAAGCCTTCTGGACGCGCCCCCTCGGGCCGCAGGGAGGGTTACTGGGGATCTGACTCTGCCTCGACCCAGGTGGGGAGAACACCATTCAGGTGTTAAAAGTCACTCCCCGTTCTCTGGGTGCAGTTTGCTCCACTAAGAAGGTGCTAGTTGCCCCAGGGGTCCCTCTTTAGCTTCAGAATATGACTTGGTCCCCCAGCTGGGCAGCAGAATGCTCACTCCCCAGGGCATGAGTGATCCATCAGAGGGTAAGCAACTCCCTGGGTGTGAAGGAAACGGACTGCTCCCCACAAGACAGGAGAGGTCTTGGCAGTGCCCTAGGGCAGTGGTTTGAGAACCAGTCATTTGAGCAGTCGTTCAGATCTGGACTCCTGGCCCCTTCCCAGACCTCCCCAAACACTCTAAGCCTGTGGGCATGGGAATTCGGTGCTCCTCAGGTGATTCTTTTCAGCTTTGTTGCTATATAATACACAAACCGTAGAATTCACCAATTTAAAGTGTACAATTTTTTTTTTTTAGCATACTCAGAGCTGTGCAGCCATCATCCTAATCAATTTTAGAACATTTCCATCACCTTAGCAGTCACTTCTCATCACCACCACCACCCCCAGTCCCCTAGCCCAAGGTAACCATTAATCTACTTTCTGTTATAAGTGGTCTTGTATCTGGCGTCTTTGACTTATATAAGGTTTTCAAGGTTCATTTGTAGTACAGTATGTATCAGTACTCATTCCTTTTTATTGCAAATAATTCCATCATATGGCTACACCACATTTTATTTATCCATTCAGCAGCTGAAAACTTTTAGGTTGTTTCCACTTTTTGGCTATTATGGATAATGCTGCTACAAATATTACTGTACAAGATTTTGTGTGCACAGGCTTTCATGTCTCTCCTCTCCAGCTGATTCTGATACACACCAAACATGGGTGGTGGGTGGTACCTGGTATATAGGTGCCGGTTTAGGCACTGCCCGGCTCAGCTTGGAGGGGTTAGAGAAGCCTCACATTGTTTGGTTGGGTCATTGACCAGCCTCACCCTTTTCCAGCTTGTTCTCAGCCCTCAAGGTCCCTCACTAACCCCTTGAACCGTTACCTGAAGCTGGCTCAAGGCCAGCAGGCAGGGGAGGAAGGAGAGGCAAGACCTTCTACCTCTACCTGGCAGCCAGCCAAGCATCCACTGTGGCTTACCTTGCAGGAGGTGGGCCCCACCATAGTGGGCGATGAGTACTCAGATCCAGAGCTGATGCAGCATTTGGGGGCCTCAAAAAGAGGCGTTCTGGGAAACAACTTGTAAGTAGTGGCATTCTTAAATATCTTCTCACTGGCTCCTAGACCTGTCCTTGTTCCCTTCACACACCACTGAGACGAGGGATGATGCCATGGCCCAACCTCAGAGCCCCTCTGCCTGCCTCCTGGGGTTCTGTCCTCTTGTAGGGTCAGTCCCGTCTGCAGCCTCACAGCCCCCCAGGCTTGCTCTGAAGGCTTTCCCACTGGCCCTCCCTTCACAAGAGAGCTCAAGGACAAAGTCAAGTCCCAGGACAAAGTCCCCAGACAGAGTTCAGTTCCCTAGATATAGGACTATGTAAGTGGACTGTTCCTTGCTCTGTCCTCTATCTCCAAGCTGGACCTTATTGAGGCAAAGACAGGCATAGAGGAAAAGGTTTCTGTCGAAGAGCTGACTTTTAACAAAGCTAAGCCCTAGAAACAGGGAGCAGGCAGCTTGGGTTCTACTTCCACCTTAACCAGCTGCCTTGGCCACTTCCCTTGGCATTCTTCTCATCAGTTGTTGAGTCTAAACAGTGAGTGCTGCTTCCTTTTCTGCCCCTCCCCTTTCACACCCGGTANGGGTCCTTGGCCACTTCCCTTGGCATTCTTCTCATCAGTTGTTGAGTCTAAACAGTGAGTGCTGCTTCCTTTTCTGCCCCTCCCCTTTCACACCCGGTAGGCAGGGAGAACCCTGCTCCACAGGCTGGAGCTCCTTAGAAGGGTCCCCAGAATGAGCCCTAGTTCATAGGGGACAGCAAAGGGGAGATGAGCTGGTGCCAGCCCCTTGGGTCAGGGTTGGAGGGCTGAAGCCAACCCCATTCTTCTGCCCTGAGGCATTTGTCTGGAGATGCCCATCTTGGGGCTCGAGCCCTTTATCTACTTGATGGCCTTTAGAATCATTTCACCCTGAAAGAAGGAAAAGCAAGCATTCTCTGTGCTAGGGAGAGGCACCCAGGGTCAGGAACTATTAGAGGTCAAGCTAAGGAGGGGCCAGAGGCCCGGTGAGCACCCTGGGGAGAGCAGCCCTTCTTCCTGAACAGCCCAGCAGCCTAGGGCATGTGGGGCTGTTATCAAACTAACACAGGTTTCACTGCCTTATGACATTGGGAAAGCGACTTAAGCCAAGTTTTGTGGCTCAGTTGTTGAGCGTCAACCTATGAACCAGGAGATCAGGGTTCAGTTTCTAGGTCAGGGCCCATGCCTGGATTGTGGGCTCGATCCCCAGTAGGGGGCATGCAGGAGGCAGCCGATCAATGACTCTCTCTTATCACTGATGTTTCTATCTCTCTCTCCCTCTCCCTTCCTCTCTCTGAAATCAATAAAAACATATTTAAAAAAACAAAACAAAATGAGAACAATAATGGTACCTTCCTCAGGTTGTTGGGAAGAATACATGAGATAATGCAGAAGTGCAGGAGAAAGGGGCAGGTAATGTGCACTTAGCCTGGCACCTGGAAGATACCAGCAAACATCAGTCACTGTTATGAGCATTCCGGTATCTTTAGCAGATACTAATTTTGTAGGGGGAGCTTGCACTGTGTGCCCTCTCACACTGCCCTCTCTCCTTCTGTTCACAGTTACGAGTACTACGTCAACGACCCTCCTCGAATAGTCCTGGACAAGCTGGAACGCAGGGGCTTCCGTGTGCTGAGCATGACAGGGGTGGGCCAGACACTGGTGTGGTGCCTGCACAAGGAGTGACCCTCACACTGAGGAGCGGACAGGGCACCCCTTCTTCCAGTGGTTGCCAATGGGCCCTGATCCCAAGCCCCTGCCTCACTCACTGCCCTGCCCCCTTCCCAGATTGTCATTTCCCCTCAGTCCAGCACCACTAGGCAGTGAAAGGCCTTCTCTGAAACCTGTCTCAGCAGGGGGCAGGGAGGGCAGGCCTCTTGCCCTGGTGCTCCCCAGTTGCCCCTCCACCTTCGGACCTGGCTGAGTGTTCTGGAGGAGTCCATGTTCATGGGCAGGCTGAGGGGCTGGCAAGAGCCAGGCTGCCTTTGGCCAGAAGCATGGTTCTGGGACTGGGCGGGTGGGTCCTGTATAGCTAGTCCAAACCAATAAAGGGCTGTGATGATTGGTTGATCCTAAGGTCTGTGCGTGCAAGGACTCTCACCAAGTGGAGCACCTCCCTGGGGGTCTGTCCACTGCCTGGGAGGGAGAGCCAGCCTGGGCGGAACCTCTGAGGCAACACCTTACACCTATGTATGCAACAGAGTTAGACTTAAAAAAAAAAGTTTATTGGTGAGGTTTAAGAAAAGGTCTGTTGGGGTGGTAGGACTAGACACTACGTGGGCTGCCCCACCTTGTCCTCCTGCTGCATCTGGGCAATCAGCTGCTGCCGCTCAGCTGCTTGGCGCATGCGCATCATGACGAGGCTTTCATAGTCCCTCTCTGACACCACCGAGCCCTGGGGGACAGAGGAGGGACAGAGAGGGGTCCAGGCATCAGGACACAGCCCCACAGACTCCAGACTCGGAGGACAGGGCCTGGGTAGAGTTACAGTCAAGAGTCAAAGAAGAACAATGCCCAGGAAGGAAAGGACCCTGGAGCAGGAGCAGCCTGCAACCCCAATTCGTTGATGTTCTTCGGAGGAAGCAGGTCTTGGGCCTCCAGCTTCTCAACCCATCTCAACCACTTATCACCTCCACCTCCCCTCTCAGCTCCTTCCTTCACCTCTATAGTCAGCTCTGGTTCATCTTTCCCAGGTGATTCACTTCCTCTGCTCTAGCTAGGCCTTCATCTCCCTTCATTTCCTCAGCACTCTACCCCACAGCTTCTGCTGCTCACAGGTCTCTAGTCAAGGGAAGTTGTCAGAGGTTTAGAAACCCACTCTGCTCTGCCAGGCGGAGGCAAGTGCACTGCTTCCGCCCAACTGTCCATCTTCCCTGTGGACCAACTCCTGCGGAGGTCACAGGAGAAGGAAGCCCTACCCTAGACACAGCCTCCATCAGCCCCACCCTAAAAAAGAGAAATAAGCATGAGGCTGGCTTGCCTCCTGAAAATACACACCAGGCTCCTGGAGGGTAGGGCCTGTAGCTTTTTCTTTTACGATGTTGTCAGCCGAGTACAGGGATTAAAGACTGCTATATTTTAATAACCAAAAGAATAATAAACAACTACCTCCATCGGCCAAGGCTGTGGGGTGGAGAGGCGGCTCTACAGTGCCACAAGCGGAGCTGCCAACCCCACGCCCTGATAAGGTCTGCAGTGGGAATTAAATCACTTCCTCCCTCGGGGCTGCTGAAGTTGTGTGACCTGTGACGCCCACCTGAGTTGGCACAGAAACAAGCAAGGCCAGGGGGCTACATAGCAGGCAAAGGTGCAGAGCCCTGCCAACCTGCTACACTCCCATGGAATAAGTCAGGAGGAAAGTTTGGTGGTTAGTGACCCAGAGAATAAGGAGGGAGTGGCTGTGGTTAAGATGCCAGGCCCTGGCCAACTGGTTTGTAGTGAGGGGTGTACAGAACCAGGAAGTGTTATCCGGCCCAGATCCCCCTGCTCCTCCCAACAGCCCCACCCCTCTCTTCCTCTCTGCTGGGCTGCAGAAGCTCTGAGGAGAGTTGCCCTCCCAGTCAGGCCCACCTATTTCAGCTTGGCCCAGAGCGCTGCTGACAATTCAGTGGTCCAGCCCCCTCCACAGTGGAGGGACCTCAAGTGAGGCCCAGGCAGCTCATGGGGAAGGAGTGGAGCAAAGGGTAGGAGGCAGTGGGACCCTGCCCCTCAGCTGCTCTCTCCTGCCCTGAGGCCATCTGGTAAATCAATGAAGGATGAGGAAACAGCAGCTAGACTGGGTGTCAAGCCAAGGGGAGGGCAATTCTCCCCTCCCCGAGGTAATACTGCTCTGTTTAGAAAACTCCAGTCACCCTCGCATGCCCTGAGCCTGGCCCTGGAAGGAGCCAGCCCTTTATTGGCATGGGGCTGCTCCCTGTTAACACACCCTCTGCCTCCTTCCCCCCATACCTGTGGGCTCTGCTAATGAGGGCCTGTCACCAGGCCCCAGGGATGAGTCACACATACTAGCAACAGGTCTCTTCCTTCCCCAACAATCGTTCCACACGCCTGCCTTTCAGTTACCTGCCACCTCCCTGGGCTCCTCTCTCCCAGACACTGGGAACTGGGGAGCCACGCCTGCTGCTAGGGCCTGGTGGTGGGGAAAAAGGAGACAGTGTGGTGAGGGCTGCGTCCACAAAGCAGGGCTGCCCCCAGACCAGTCCTGAGAGGAATCTTCAGCTCCCCAGTGGCTGTGGGGTGTTGGCCATGGCTGCCCCAACTCCTGCATGCGGATGCTGCAATTACCTCAGAGCATGAAACCGGGCTTCCCACCTGACTGAGTCAGCTGAGAACAACAACACACCTCCATGCCACACACCAGCACAACCAGCAGGGCACCGATCAGAGTCAGGAGCCACTAAAGACAGAGGCAGGGGCCACGACAGAGGGTAAGCTGGGGCCCTGAGGAGCTGGGGCAGGGGAAGGAGCAGAGGCCCCTCCTGCCTGCCTGAGAAGATCCATCTCTGACCCCCCTGGAGCTGCTCTCCTCCGGCTCCAGTAAGTGCTGCTTCTTCCTCTTGGGGTTTTTTCCACTGCCCTATCAAGTAACCAGGCCACTCCTGTCCCTCTGGGAAACTCCCAGCAGCAGGAACTCACAGCACTGTGCTCTCCCCTTCCTGTGACTTCGTCTCACCATCCAGGTGCTGGCCCGAGGACTGTGCTGAGCAGAAAGCTGGAGGCCTCTGCTGGAAGCCCACATGGTCTGTCTCCCAGTTCTTGTCATTCACTGCTCTGGCAAGGACCAAATGATCTCTAGCCACTCTTGAACTGGACTTCTAAGGTCTACTGGCTCCCTGGGCCATGGAGACCTGGCGGAAAGGCTCCTTCCGCAATGCCTCCTTCTTCAAGCGGCTGAGCCTGGGGCGGCCGCGGGGACTCCGGCGAAAGGGCAGTGTGCTGAGCCAGGCCAGCATGGCTGGTGGGGACCATGAGGAGTACAGCAACAGAGAGGTCGTCCGGGAGCTTCGAGGGAGGCCGGATGGTCGGCGCCTGCCACTGTGGGGGGACGAGCAGCCCCGGGCCACCCTCCTGGCCCCACCCAAGCCCCCGCGCCTCTACCGAGAGAGCTCCAGCTGCCCCAACATCCTGGAGCCCTCGCCTGCCTACGCTGCTGCCTACTCAGCCGTGCTGCCCTCGTCGCTCTCCCTGGCAGGCGCCCTCCACGAATACTCCGAGGAGGACCTTGTGGACACTTCCCCCTTCCAGAAGACACCTACTCTGGACCCTAACGATCCCTTCTCTTCCTTCAAAGTGGACTTGGGGATGTCGCTCCTTGAGGAAGTTCTACAGATGCTGAGGGAGCAGTTTCCCAGTGATCCCAGCTTCTGAATGGGGCGAGGGTGGGCAGAGGTGTGGTGACTGGAAGAGCCGAAGGCCTGGGAACCCAGAAGGTAGAGTCATGGATTAAGAAAAAGGTGTGGGTAGGAATCCAGGGCCCTGCCGGCCCTCTGGGTCCTCAACAGTCCTCCAGGCCACCCCAGAGCGGGAGGGACATGCGTAGAGGCAAGATGGAAATGTTGTGAGGGGCACTAGCTGACAAAAACCCTGAAGGCAGCGTCTAGGCTGGGAAAGGGAGGCCATGCCTGCAACTCCAGGGACCAGGCAGAGGCCAGCAGAGGGGGTAGATGGCACAAGGGGTGAGTCAGGGAGTGAAGGACACACAGACTGGACATATCAGATGGGTAGTACCCTGCCCAGCCCCCTCTGAAGCTACTGTCAACAGACAGAGGTTACAGGACAAGTCTAGGCAAAAGTGGGCCAAATAAGACTTAAAGGAACAGTGGGGACACCTGAGGGAGAAGGATGAGACAGGCTTGACTCTGTCTAATATAGCAGCCACTAGCTACATGTGACTGTTTACATTTAAATAATTGAAACTAAGTAAAATTAAAAATTTAGTTCCTCAGCTGCACTAGCTGCATTTCAAATGCGCAACAGCCAACATGACTAGCGGCTACCACACTGGACAGTGGAGGGTGAACATCAACATCACTGGAAAAAGTCCTACTGGGTAGTGCCTGGACCTACCAGTGGCACAGTGGGGGAAGGGAGAAGCACAGTGGCCTGCAAAGGAAGGGAGGGGCTGGCAGAGTAGGAGGAGTGAGGCACGCAGAGATAAAAAGCATAATTTAGGAAAAAGGCCACACAAATCATTAGCAGAAGAGGGGGCATGAGACTCAAGCTGCCAATGCAGCTGCCTGGAGCAGTCCCTGGTGCCTGAGGAAGGTGGGTCCAGGGACTGCCAGCTGAAGGCACAGACACAGCTTGTAAAGGGCTGCTTGAGGAGTTTCCAGAATTACTACTGATGAGAGCCCTTGGGAAATGCAGCCAGAACAGTGGCAGATTTCCCTCCATCCTGCCCCTGATGAGAGCATAGGAGGAAGGGACCAGGGATGGACACGAGACTCATGGCTGTTGTCATGAAGAGGCACAGCTGGTGTCCAGAATCCTCCACCAGGACTGGGAGCTCTGCCCTGCCAAACCCCCACCCAGGGGTGCCTGCCGCCCGGGCCGAGCTCACTGGGTCATGGCCACACACTGTGCTGCTTACTGCCCCACACTGTGGTTTGGCCAGAAGACTTGAAACCAGAGCTCAGGTTGGCTGGGCCACGTGGTTCTGAGATTCCAGGCGTGAAGAGTGAGAGAGGGAAGCTGTGGCACACACTGCTTCCACAACCTGAACCTGTGGCCTCTGTCCCCGCTTCTGTGTGGATATGCCCAGAGGAGAGGCTCCCAACTGGATGCAGGAGATAATAAAGTTCTATATAACAGCCTATGGAATGTCATCTGGGGCTATGAAATGCTGGGACTTAATGGTGAGGGAATGAGCTCTCTAAAGAAGGGTCTTGAGTTGGGCTCAGACGAGTCCCTTTTCTTCCTCTGTCCAGGGTCTGGGACACTCCCAGAGAGCTTCCTGTTCTCACAGCCCGGTGAGGGGCAAATAGGAAAGCAGGGGTGGAGCGGCTGAGGGCAAAGACCTTGCTGACCCACCAAGGGGTATTTTCCCCCAGAGGGGCTGGTGAAACATCAGTCTGAGGCTCCCATACAGAACTGCAGGCCATTCCAGAGAAGGGGGAGCTCTTGGCCTAAAAGCTGTCCCACCAAAGTGAGGGCAGCTGTGACTAGGGCCACAGCGTGCACGAACGCCTTCATGGAGCTGTCAGGATGAACAGCTAGTGTGGAGAAGGCACCAGCTGAGGTCTGTGCTTCATCATGAGTTGGGCACCCAGGCAGCAGGTGCCCGGTGTCAGCCAGTAGCTAGTGTTATTTCTAAGGAGGAGATATTGCCTCTTGACAGTAGGTCCTGTCTGGGGCAGCCAGACACACCTGAAAAATGAGTTGGGGACGAAGTGGAAGAAGCTGCCCTCGTTCTCTCCCCCTTCCCTGCAGCACTGGGTTGTCTTAGTGCCAAATGCTTCACACCAACCAGGCAGCCTGCGGGCCAGGAAAACCCCTTTAGATGATGATGAAGGTCTCCAACAGGAGACCAGGATGTGGAGGGAATATAAGGTCTAAGAATTCTGTGTAGAGTGGGGCCCGCTGGCACTTAGAGAGGAAAAGGGGTCAGCACAAAACCACAGTCCCCTTGCTCTGGTTTGTGGACCTGCCAATTTCACTCCATCGGGATGACCTGGATTTCCGAGGAAAGAGCCCTGAGAAGAGCCCAAACAAGAAAAGGTTCCTCAAACCCTGAGCATGCCCACCTGTGAGAGGGCTGGCTCCTTACCTGTGACAGTCCTGGGCGGTCAGGGCCGTCCTTGCCCTGGGGACATCCCTCCAACCAGGAAATCTTCAGAGGGTTATCGACCAGGCCCACTTCATTTTGGACAGCCAGTTCCTACCAAACACAGCCTCCAGTTAGTCCCATCACTCTGAGAATCAGCTAGGAGTGGCTCTCTCTACCCCCTGAAAATACCAGAACCAGCAAGCTCACCCTCCAAGCAAAGCTGAACAACCTTCCATGATGGAGTGCTGAAGCTTTGACCCTCCTCATGGGCAAGTGGGGGTATAAGCCTCTGACTGGGTGGTTGGAGAAGGGGAAAGGCAGGGTGGGGCCCCAACCTAGAGACATGCCAGCTCCCACAGAAGAGTGGAGGTTGTGGAGCCAGGCAGCAGGAAATGCAGTTGGTCTGTGCTCTCCTTTATCCCAGAGCATTCTCTAGCCCATCTCTTCATTCACTGAGCCTGTACTCCCGGAGTCGGGGACCTATGGGGAACCTTGGCTCTGAGCTGGCCCAGATATCCCAAGAGTGTGGATACCTAACCTCAGGGTATCCACAGAATTGAGTTCCTACCCTGGAATGGCAGGGGTGGCAGTAGCTCCCCCAAAGGCTCACACAGCACTCACCGCAGCCTTGACAGTTGCAAACTCCACCACGGCAGTGCCTGCCTTCTTACTGGAAAGCACCAGGTTGAGCACCTCTCCATACTGTGAAGACAAGGAAGGCCCAGCTCATGCCAGAGACAAGCCTGGGCTGCCCCAAGGCCCACTGGGGCATGTTCAGTTGGGGGATAACTTCTTGTTGCTGGGTTCCCAGAGAGGGGAGAACAGAGGTAGGAAGGAAAGGATTTTTTCCAGGAATGCAGGAGAGAAAGGAGAGTTGGGCAAAGGACTGGGACTTGGACTGGCAGAGTCGCAAAGCTGCTGCAATGACTAAAGATGGTGAAGGGGATAAGGTCTTCATGCCAGATGCCCACCTCCTCTCCCCCCACACACTCAGCCAACCCCTCTGCTTCTAAGGATGGCGAGGGCAGACCTGGGCAGTGAAGGTGAGACAGACTGGAGGGGACACAGGGCAACACAAGAGAGAGGAGGACTGTGGCCTGGGAAGAAGCTAAGCTGTCCTACGATCCATGAACAGAGAAAAAGGCAGGGAGCAGTGGTGAGGGAGGTTTAGGCACAGAGATCTGGGGTTTGGACTGAGTCGATGGGAAAGAGGGAAGTCAGCAGGGCAGACCTTTTGAAAAAGCTGTAGGAGGACATCTCTGGAGTAGCCGCCTTTTGACCCATCCTCCTTGCACTTCCATCTTAGCTGAAAAGACAGCAGCAGGCATCACCACTGAAGACCAACCTTCGCCTGAACGGCACCAGACCCTACACCTGAGCTTTACAGTCTGAACAGACACCGTCTACTAGTAATCTAGAGAGAACCCCCCAAAATGTGTCCCCCTTGAAGATGGACAAGAAGGGAGGCCTGCTCACCGCAGCCATGCTCTCAGCCCTGTGAGATGCTCTTTTTGAGGGCCTCTCGGGAGTGCTGCCTGTCAGTCGGGGCTAAGAGCAGCCTTCCATGGCAAGCTCTGAGAGGCTACCCGGTTCCCGGGCAGTGGGAGGATGGAAGGACTGGGCAGTGGTGCTGGATCCCAGAGATCCAGTGTCCCCACCATAACCCCTTTAGCCACAGAAAGTATCTGATCTTGCTGAGAGGAGGTAGTGTGAGGTGACCCATGGATCCCCACAGGGCTCACCTTTAGCTTGGGAGTTCCTTTGCCTTCGGGATTTTCTGCCTTTCCTAGAAAATTTGGGGAAATTAGCAAGATAGAGTATGACAGAGAGAGTAGTTCTCCCAAAGGAGATACAGCCCAGGCCCAGAAGGACCTAGAAAATGTCACTTCTGACCAAGGGCAATAGCTGCCCCTGCTCAGGAGCTTAGTGAGGAGGGTAGAGGCAATTCCACCCCACCCCCAGAAGCTGCTACCCCAGGGGCCATCTGCCCAGCTGCCTGCTGAAGGCCATGGTGAGCACTCTGCCAACACAGGGCTGTGAACACCTTCTGGGGGCAGAGTGAAGAGGTACAGACCACACAGTTCTACTAAAACAAAGTATCCCAGAGCCTTTCTCCTGGTGACCTGCTCCAAAACAGAGCCAGCCCTACTTAGGACTAAGACATATCAGGCTAGGAGACCGAGGGCAGAGAGAAAAGCAAATAGGCCCCAGAGAGCTAGTAGGAAGGGACAGGTGGCATGTGTCTGAGTGGGGTGCCCCCTGGATTCCAGCAGGTAGAAATCTCCACAGCGACTCCACAGAGAGCTGCCTCAGAGTGGGAGGCAGGTGGAGGTGATGAACTCTCACCTCTCAACCTCTGTTCCCGTTCCTGGCGTATCTGCTCCTGGATCAGCCTCTGCTGTTTCTCCAGCTGCCGGGAACCCTCTTCTCGAAGGCGTTCGATCTGCAGAGCGGGGGGTTGGGAGGTGACAATTCTGTGCAGATCCAATTCCAGGTTGGCTCCCTTTGTAAAGGTCCCTGGGAGGTTCCACCTGTAAGCTAGGGCTCAGCAACCTGCGGGTGGGACAGATTACCCAGATCCCACAGAAGAAGGTGGGAAAGGCATGACCTCCCCAGCCACCATAGCCACCACAGTGCACCCTCCCCCACCTCCTGGAGGTGGCCTCAGGCCCTCATGCCCAGATACTCACCTCCTGCTCTAGTGTCCTGGTGCTCCGGCTCTCCTCCTCCTCCTCACTGCCCTGGGCCTGAGCCTGCCGCTCCCGGGCCTCTAGGTCTAGGCACAAGGGTTGAATGACCCAATGGCTGGTCTAAGCAGTTTCTACATGGCCTCAGCACCCCCAGCTCTGGCTGCTTCCCCAGCCTCACACAGAATGAAACCGTATGGTGACTCTGCCTCTTCCTCCATGCCCATGTGCTCCCAAATTAATTTTCATTGAGAAAAAGTCACAGCACAGTACAGGGTCCAGCTGAGTGGCCAGGGTCTGGAAAAGTTAAATCAGCTCAAATTGACCAAGCTGGCTGTCTGATCAGTGAACAGGGTGTGGCTGGGTGCTTATGTCAGCAACCCAGGGCCATGTGTCAGGGATGCCAGTGGGTGGAGCTGTTGGCCTCTGTTCCTGTGGTTTCGCACCACAGCCTGACCTGTGATCTTGCCCTGGCTTTGATGAGTTTCCCACCACTGAGCTCAGGTTGTCACTGTCTCCTTCACCTCCTCTCAACTCACATTAACCAAGCTTCACTGCTAACCTGACTATCGTGGATCCTACGGGTATGGCAGATTCTGTGTGAGGACATCACCCCAGGTCATGGAGCCTTTCCCACCTTCCAAGGGAAACTTGCTTGTGGCCCTGTTCCAGGCCAGTTGCTGTGACAAACCCCTCTCTCAGGCTTAGAACTCAATGCTTTCTTTTCTGTGCACTTTATTTACCTACAATCTCCAGGGTTTTTTGTTTGTTTTTGATAGAAATGGATGCACTGGGATGGCATATGTACATACTAAATATATGGGTATCAAACAGACAAGAAGGTGGGGAGAACATCGAGTGAAGAACATCTGGACCAATCTTATTGATGAAACTGATTTATAGTCATAGTTATACCATGTGATAAATTTACTAAAAATCACTGGACTGTACACTTGAAATGGGTGGCTATTATAATACAAAAAAATATAGCTCAATAAAGCTGTTAAAAAAAAAAAAAGAACGCCTGGACTTCAATGGATCCTTCTGAGGAGACTTTGCAGAGCGAAAGCTCTGTGCAGAAATGATGACTGAAAGGATGAGTAACAAGGCCCCGGATGGAATGGTGAACAAGAACATGGGTCTACTCGCACCGGGTGAATTTAAATCACGGCTCCAGAAATTCTCATCCTTGTGGTGCGTTAGCTTCTTTGTCTACAAAAAATGGACTTAGTAATACCCACCTCCTTTAAGCATTGTGATAATTAAAACAGACAATAAAGCATTTGTTACAGTGCTTAGCTAATAGTAAATCTAGTCATTGTTATTTTTTCTGAGAGTGTCCTTTAGGATCCACCCCTAAGAACAGGGTTCTTCCCAGAGCTGCTCCAAGAGGCTTTGAGTTGCTGGAACTGAATGAAGCTCCAGGAAGAAAGGTAAGGTTGCTGCATGAAAACGGCCCAGGGAAACTGCAGGCCACACAGCACCATGATGCCACCTACCAAGCTTCACTTTCTTCCTTCTCTCATCTAGTTTCTGGGTCCGCTCTGCTGCCTGCTTCTTGGCTTTCCTGACCTTGTCATACGCGGCCTGGCAGGAGAAAGGAACAACAGGAAGCAGTCAGCCAGAGAACAAGGATAGGGCCCAGCCAGCTTCCTCGTCCTGCTGCCTAGCCCCAGAGCCATTGGGAGGGTCTCTAGGCAGGGACAGCAAGGACTGTGCTACCCAACAGAGTACAGAGGACCGAGGCTAACGTGCCACAATGGTCTTTAACCATGGGGACAATTCAGATAGAGAAGCATGTGCTTACCCTGGCTGCAGCGTCTGTCAGTACCTCCAAGGCCTGAGAAAGCTGGTGGAAGAGTTCAGCTGAACACAAAGATCAAAAAACAGAGAAGAGAAAAATCAAATTAGCCTTGGTGATGGTGTGCTCCCTCAAAAGAGCACCTCAAAGAAGCCATGGGCTGGCAGAAAAGCTGACATCAGCAGATGATAGACCAGCAAGGAAAGGTGAGTATATCAGCGACTGACCTGACACCCCCAACACGAGAAGCCGGGCTGTGTGCACCAGCATTCCACAGCACTCCCATGGGAGCACAGGTGGGAACACACTGTGCCCAGGTGGCCTGGCCTCCTTCCCCCACACCTAGAAGAGTCTCACCTGCTCTGGGATTATCTGGATTTTTGTCTGGGTGGCAGGAGAGGGCCTTCTGCCTATATGCCTTCTTCACCTGGAAGAGTCAGAAGACATGATCATTCACTCTCTCACCCAGGAAAAACAGGAAAACTTTGCTAAAGTGATAAGGGAAATCCAGAAAGTGCTCCCCATCCCTAAAAGAGAGGCCGCTGGCTCCCACACTGAAAGTCACCTCACAGCCACCAAGGAGATTTGCAGTGCAGGACGTAAAGGCTGTGGAGGGAGCCCACGATCACCTGGAGCAGAGGGGCTGGGCCTACTTTCTGCCCAGCACCTGATCTCACCACCATGTCAAAGGGCTCCTGGCAGGGGTAGGTTCTCTATAGGCACCTGGAAACAGGCACTCTCACACACCCTTGATGGGCATGTGAACTGGGGCAACCTTTCTGAAGGAAACTTTTGCTATCAAAATTTAATATATACCTTCCCTCTGACTCACATTCCTAGGAATTCAGAATTGTAGAAGTATGCCAACAGAAATGTACAAGGATGCCCACTGCACCACTATTTATATTAGGCCCCAACGGGAACTAACCAAAATCTACATCAACAGAGAGATCCATTTAAAACATTATGATAGATGGAAGCCTGTATGTGCTGACTAGAAAGATCTTCAAGTCCTCATCCCAAGGGGGCAAAAAACAGCCCTGGCCGGGTGGCTCAGTTACTTGGAGCGTCATCCAGTGCAGGTTTGATTCCCAGTCAGGGCACATACAGAGGCTGCGAGTTTGATATCCAGTCAGCGTGCATACAGAAGGCAACCGATCAATGTTTCTCTCTCACATCGATGTTTCTCCCTCTCTCTCTCCCTTCCTCTCTCTCTCTGAAAATCAATGAGAACATATCCTTGGGTGAGGATTTTTTTTAAAAAGATTCTGTAACTATATGTGGTGCCGAATGTTAACTAGACTTACTGTGGTGATCATTTCATGATATATACAAATATCTAATCATTGTGTTGTATGCCTGAAACTAATACAATGTTATATGTCAATTGTTCCTCAATTTAAAAAAAAGAAAGAAGGATCTTCAAGATATAGTGTATTTAGGGGGGAAGGCTTAGAACAGTTATATAATATGATCACTTTGGGGTGTAAAATAAACAAAAAAATGAAATAAAAATAGAGATACTCTGGCATTGGCATAGCTTCTGTTTTCTTTTTTCCTCAAAGCAATCAGAAGAACCATAAGAGTGACAAAGATGGAGGGGTAGGAAACATTTACATCTCATTTTATGCCATTCTGTAGTTCAAATTTTCAAACCTTACACAAGTCTTATCTTACTATCATTTTTTTATTGTCAACAGAGATTATCTTGGTGGGGAGGTTATTGTTCATTTTTAGTTTTTATCTTTGCATATCTCTGATTTAAAAAGAAAAAAGTAATATTTCTTATATTAGTAATACCTACTCGGCTGTTTTAAGGGAAGGCAGAGCACAAAATTCCAGAATCTGCCCTCACTTCTGCCTGCATACCCTACCAGCTGCTCAAACCAGAGAAGGAGCCTCTCGACCTAGAAATTCCACATCTCAGAGAGAACCAATAAATACTTCTATCCAAAGTGTGCTGATTATGTACCTTCAGAGGCAAGTTGCCAGAGGCCCCAGGGGAGAGCCTGTAGGCAGGTGCTTCATTCCACTCCCACATCTGTTGCCAGGAAAGGGCAGCGGCTGCCTACACCTGTGGGCTGTGCTGCCACCTGCTGGGCCACCACCAGCACCACACCTTCACCTGCCAGTGTAACCAGACCCATCTGGCTCTCAGAAACCACTCCCAGGACAGGTCTTGAGCAGCAAAGGTGTAGACATGCCTCCGTGCGCTCCCACCTTCCCAATCGTCCACCTATGCTTACTTGGCTCACTCGTTCAACTCGCTACCCCAAAAGAGGTCTTCACCATTCAACAACAACAGCATCTTGCTCTGTTTTCGCTACCAAAAAAAAAAAGTAATTCTAAGGGAATGGGCCCAGGCCAGGTAGCTCAGTTGGTTAGAGTGTCATCCGATATGCAAAGGTTTCATGTTCAATACCCCAGAATCAACCAATGAATGCATAAATAAGTGGAACAACAAATCGATATTTCTCTTTCTCTCTCTCTCCCTTCCTCTCCCTCTCTCTAAAATCAATTTTTTAAAAAAAGAAGATAATGGCTCTGGCCACTGTGGCTCAGTTGGTTGAGAATCATACCATACACTAAATGATAAAGGAATGGGAGGTGCTAGTTTTATATATAGTCTTACATTTGAAATGTCATCTTTATTCTTTAGCCCCCTTGTCTTTTCTCCCTTTCTCTCTTTTAAAAAAATTTTTTTAAAATTTATTTTTAGGAAGAGGAAAAGAGAGGGAGAGAAAGAAACATCAGTGAGAGAGTAAAACATCCATTGGCTGCTTCCTGCACGTCCCCTAGCGGGGACTGAGTCTGCAACCCAGGCCTGTGGCCTGACTGGGAACTAAACTAGCAACCCGTTGGTGCCTGGGCCGATGCCCAACCAACCGAGCCACATGGGCCATGGTTCCCTTTCTCTCTCTTTTGCCTCCTCCATTGTGCCCCCGGCTTCATTTCCTTTTTATTTTAAATTGAGCTTTATTATATATTCTTTAGATTTTAGGGTACTTCATTTGTTTTTTTCAGTAAGTGACACAATACCAAAAATGTATAAAGAGAAAGCTAAAAAGCTGATGTTCTTTCCCCATTTCCCCAGCCCTCTCTTTAAGACTCCAATGTTAACTGGATCGTGGGTATCCTTCTAAACCTTCTTCCTTGATCATTCCAACTAATACAAGCATAATGCACATATAGGAGCCTTTGAGTTTTGTTCTGCCTATCTCCCCCCACCTCTCTCTCTGATCCCATTCCCACCCTCTCCCTGAGCTGCGTGAGAGGAAAAGGCAGGGAGAAGGAGGTGTCTATTGCCTTACTTGCAACACTGCCCTCAGAATGAACTTCCTTAGAACCAGGTTTAGCTGGTCTGCGCTACTAATGTTGGGGAATTTTGTGGAAGATGGCTTCTTTTGTATCATGGGGCTCTTTTAAAGTGTTATATGTTCTTTTTTGTAAATCTAAGAGGGATAGTAGAAAGGAGAGAGGGACAATAAGGACCAGTAAGAAAGCAAGATAAAAGAGCCATGAGGCCTGGCCCGCATGACTCAGCAGTTGAACACTGACCTTTGATCCAGGAGATCAAGGTTCAATTCCTGGTCAGGGTACATGCCCGGGTTGCGGGTTTGATCTCCAGTAGTGGTCATGCAGGAGACAGCCGATCAATGACTCTCTCATCATTGACGTTTCTATCTCTCTCCCTCTCCCTTCCTCTCTCTGAAATCAATAAAGACATATTTAAAAAAACAAAAACAAATAAAAACAGAACTAAATTCTCCAATCAAAAGACATAGAGTGGTTGAATGGATTAAAAAAACAAGACCCATCTATATGCTGCCTACAAGAGACTTATTTCAGATGTAAGGACACACAGACTGAAAGTGAAAGGATGAAAAAAGATATTCCAAGCAAATGGAAACCAAAAGAAATCTGGGGTAGCTATACTAATATCAGACAAAACAGACTTTAAGATGAAGACTATAAGAGACAAAAAAGATTGTAATACAATGAAAAAGGAATAAATCCATCAAGAGGATATAACATTTGTAAATATTTATGTACCTGACATGGGAGCACCTAAATATATAAAGTCACTATTAACAGACCTAAAGGAAAAAATAGACAGCAATACAATAATAGTAGAGGACTTTAATACCCTACTTTCATCAATGGATGGATCATCCAGACAGAAAATCAGTAAGGAAACATTGGCTTTAAACAACATGTTAGATCAGATGGACTTAACAGACATATATAGAACATTTTACCCAAAGCAACAAAATACACGTTCTTCTAAAGCACAGGATAAATCATATGTTAGACCACAAAAGAATCCTTAATAAATTTAAGAAAACTGAAATCATATCAAGCATCTTTTCCAACCACAATGGTATGAAACTAGGTATCAATTACAAGAAGAACATGAAAATTCACAAATATGTGAAGATTAAACAACATACTGCTGAACAACCAATGGGTCAAAGCAGAAATCAGAGAGAATTAAAAAAATACCTTGAGGAAAATGAAAATAGTAGAAACACAACATACCAAAACTTATGGGATACAGCTAAAGCAGTTATAAGAGGGAGGTTTACAGCAATAAATTCCTATATTAAGAAACAAGAATGTTCAATGACATAGAAGCATGGATCAGACTGATGAATCTCAGAGGGATGGAGGAGGGCAGGTGGGTGGAGGGGGAGAGAGTAACCAAAGAATTTATATGCATATATGCACAGCCCAAGGACACGGACAATAGTGTGGAGAGGGACTGGGGAGGCGGGTGGGACAGGGTGGAATGGGTCATTGGTGAGAAAAAGGGACATCTGTAATATTTTAAACAAAAATAATGGAGAGGAAAAAAAAGAATGATCTCAAATAAACAATTTAACTTTACACCTCAAGGAACTAGAAAAAACAAATGAAGCCCAAAGTTAGTAGAAGTAAGGAAAGAATACAGATTAAAGCAAAAATAAATGAAGTAAAGACTAAAAGGCAATAGAAAAAAATCAATGAAACTAAAAGCTGGTTTTCGGAAAAGGTAAACAAAATAGACAAATCTTTTGCTAGATTCACCAAGAAAAAAAGAGAGAGGAGTCAAATAAATAAAATCAGAAATAAAAGAAGAGATGCTACAACTGATGTCTGTTGACTTCAACAATACATTAAAAGGCTCAAACACCATGATCAAATGGGATTTATTCCAGGGATGCAAGGGTGGTTCAACATCTGCAAATCAATGTGATACACCACATTAAGAAAATAAAGAATAAAAATCATATGATCATCTCAATAGATGCAGAAAAGCATTTGACAAAATTCAACATCCATTTATGATAAAAACTCTCAACAAAGTGGATATAGGCAGAATGTACCTCAACATAATAAAGGCCATATACGACAAGCCCACAGCTAACACATGTAATGCTGAAAAGT